TGGGGATGGGAGGGGGGAGAACAAGGGAATCCGTGGCTGATATGTAAAATTAAATTTAATAAATAAATTTAAAAAATGAAAAAAAAGAAAATGTAAAAAACAAACAAATCAACAACAAAACAAAACAAAACAAAATCCCTTGGGAAGTCCTTGCTTCCAAGCAAGTACTAAGCAGGCCCATCCATGCTTTGCTTCCCCAATCTTAGGAGACTGGCTACTTTCAGGGTGGTATGGCCACAGACAGAAGCCACTGTCTGGCTTTCAGAAACACTGGCGTTAGCTCTATATCTCTTCCTACTTCGTATTAAAAATTTCCCTTGGATCTCTGCATCCAGATCCCTCAGTCATTGGATGGGGTTTCTAGCACGACAATTAGGGTGTTTGGCCATCCCATCACCAGAGTAGGTCAGTTCCAGCTGTCTCTCGACCATTGCCAGCAGTCTATTATGGGGTCATCTTTGTGGATTTCTGTGGACCTCTCTAGTACTTTGCTTCTTCCTATTCTCATGTGGTCTTCATTTACCATGGTCTCCTGTTCCTTTTTCTCCCTCTCTGTTCTTGATCCAGCTGGGATCTCCTGCTCCCCCAAGCTCTCTTTCCCTCGACCCTCGCCCTTCATTACCCCCACTCATGTCCAGGCTGTTCATGTAGATCTCATCCATTTCTCCGTAGAGGTTTAGTCCATTATCATCATGGTGGGATGTGGTGGCATGCAGGCAGACATGGTGCTGGAAAAGGAGCTGAGGGTTCTACAATCTTGATCTGAAGGCAACAGGAAGTGATCTGGCACACTGGGCAAGGCTTAAGCATATATGAGACCTCAGAGCCCACCTCCATGGTGACACACTTCCTCCAACCTACTCCAGCTAGGCCATATCTACTTCAACAAAGCCACACCTCCTAATAGTGCTACTCTCTATGCGCTTATGGGGGCAATTACATTCAAGCTACCACACCTCCTGATAGTCAAGTGCCTTGGTGGTGTATGATGAGGAACAGGAAGTGCATGTTCTGAACATCCCCATGAGTCACATGATTTCTCATCTGTTTGGATATTGAATAATTTTGTTGTTCCAGTTTCAGCTGAGAAGTTCCTCAGTCATGAAGCACATCCACTTAAATTTGGGAAGTGTATGGAGAAGTAAGAGGAGCCAGGAGAGATGGCTTGGTAGTTAAAAAAAATTGGCTGCTGTTGCAGAGGACCTGGGTTCAGTTCCCAGCACCCACATGATAATTCACAACTCTCTGTAACTACAGGTCCAAGGCCTCTTCTTGCATCTGTGGGCATCAGGCACAAGCATGATACGGAGATACATTTGGGCAAAACACCTGTTCACATAGAATGAATTTTAAAAGAAAATTTCCAATCAGTATTTCTGCTTGGATTTTCTTCATTCCCTAGGCTCCATAAGAATTTTCAATTTCATTAGAACCTATAGATCGTTATAAACCCTTGCCTTGTAAATATTTTGTTGCTAGTAATTTGCTTCTTTTAATTAACTGAACTTGCACTTTGGAGATATATTATTTTTATTAGTTGTTTTGAATACTTTCATAAGTTTCATGTTTTAAAATGTGTTTTTACCCATAGAGAAACTTTTAACAGCAAATAAATGACAGTAAATACACGGTCTTCCTGGTAGTAGAAAACATATGTGAACTAGCCTTCTAACAAGAGATTAATACGCAGAATTTATGTTATCTGAGGGAATAGCTGAGCAGCAAAGTCCACAAATAATCTGGCTGAAAACCAGCAGATGACATGAATAGACATTCTGAAGAAAAGATATACTGTACATATTTTATAATATGTTTATAAACATATTATAAATGTTTTATAATTGTTTGGTAAGCTTTAGTGAGAAGAAAATGGAAATCTTAGAATGTGGAAAGCTCCATTTTAGATTAGAAGAGTAACATGAATAACATCCAGGGAAGAAGTAAAAACACGGTTGTTACTCTAGACACAAGATCAACAGACAATTGAAGAGGTACTCTATGATGGTATCATGTGGTTCCATTGGGAAGGGCACCCTGCTACATATGAACCCGAGACACAGGTTAGTAAGAAAGAGCAGGAAAATTCACAGACACATCATGACATGGCCTGGAGAAAATGGCCTTGAATCAAACCTAAGAGTAATTTCCTTTCACTCTGTATGTACACATACCATCAGGAGAAAGCCAGTTTCTATAGTTAATTTCCCTCCAAGGATTCTTTTTTTTTCCCCCCAGAAAATAAATAGGAAGCACTTACAGAATTGAGATTTTGCATGAACATTATGGAGTCCCTGGCAGTCTGACGTTTGTTTGGGATAAATGCACACTTGGCTTCATACAGCCCTGTCCTTGAGTCACGTCGGCATCGTCTTGTCACGCAGCTGCCCCTCTGACATTCCTTGACCACATTTGTGCCATCAATCCCAGTGGAACATCTAGGACAGAAGGATTAGATCACTGTGGTGGTTCTCTGTGTTGCACTCGGGGCTTGTGCATGCCAGCCCAGCCTTCTACCACATCGCTAATGCCTCAGCCCCCACCTTTTTTAATGCCTCCAATTTCAGTCCTAAAGGTCAAACCTGGTCAAATCAACACCCTAAAATCTGTCAGTGGCAACTGTTATTGGACATCACATACCACCAACTCCATTTTGACAAGAGTAGATACAGGGCTTAACCCATCCTTACCATGGATTTCAATGGAGTCAGCATTTTTCAGCCTTTATTGTTATTTTTTAATGTTTGTGTATTCTCAGTCATTCCATTCACCTCCTTTGAGACAGAGTCTCTCCTTGGCCTGGAATTCACCAGTCAGGCTAGATTGACTGACCAGCAAGCCCCAGGATCTTTCTTTCTCTCCATCCCCAGTGCTGGGATTATAGACATGCATCACCATGCCAGCATTCTTGTGTGAGTTCTGGGGTCATTCTTAGTTTCTCATGCTTGTAAAGCAAGTGCTTCCTAGTCTGAGCCAGATTCCCTGCTGAGAGCGGCACTTTTGGTTCACATTCCTTAAGCATTTATTGCTTACTAATGTGATCAATAAATCTATTGTCTTGGTTACGTCGAGTTAAAAAAGAGATACTGTGAGGATTAAATGAACTCAGATTTACAGAAGAACTGTTTGTTGGTGGAGTGAGGTGAGTCAATTTATGGTTAAAACTCTTTGATTTTATTGTATTCTTCACTTTACATCTTGAGCTGCACTGAAGGAGGAAGCACAAGTAATGAGTTCAAACCATTTGGACTCCATGAGAAAGGTAATTGTCAAGTCCCTGGCAGGGTGTGGCAAGAGGCAGCAGAACAGGACAAAAGGATTCTAGAGAGCTTCCATTTATAGGAAGAATTTCTTCCCATTTTAAACTTTGTGATATTAGTTCACTTCCATAGATTAGTTTTATTTCAAGGATAATGGCAATGGCAGATAATATCATCCAGGAGAGTTAGCTTTAGGGCTAGCCCGAAGGCTGAACCTACATAAGATGGCACTCGGTTTCTGGTATGCTATAGGAGCTCAGTAACACACCCCTTTTCATGATTGGTTATAAAGAGACTCACTGATTATTCCTTAGCTTATAAAGCATTTATTACTTGATAATTCTTTGTTTGGTTTTGACTTTGTGCCAGGCTCAGTACTAGGAGACTGAAAAAAGGACACAGTCCTCAAGGATCTTAAAGTCTATTGAGAGAAAACCTTCTCCTGCACAATCAGGGCTGGCTGGTAGAAGTGTGAGAGAGGCCCACACATGCTGCCTGGGAGCTTTTCCCAGCATTCCCATCAAACCTCCAATGAGAGGAGCAGACAGATCCTGAGATAGTTTTGTGTTGGGAATGTGGGAGTCGGAGAGAGCACTGAGACCAGCCCAGCCTGTGTGCTGGCTCCAGGCAGCTCCACAGACCGCACACCACCAAGAGGAGAGGAGAAAGTGTCTTCTAGAACGCCACTTCATCTGACACACGTTCTTCCAAAGACTGACTGCCTCCTGACATCCGTTTCCGTTTTTCTCAGTACTTTTTCAACATTCTGTTTGTTACTTTCAGTTTGAAGGCTTAAACACTTTACAAGTTTATACATAGAGTTTGGTTACATTTACCCCAGAATTCCATTTCTTAAAAAAATCAACTTACTCACTCATCCCCATGAGAAATATGAATTTTCCGTAATTTAGAAGTAAAATATAGTAATCACAAAGCCCTATAGCAACTTAATTGGTTTCAGTGAAGCAGATGGACCCTAAAAAGTTTTGAAACTCAAGACTAAGTGATGCATAGAGTGGAGATAGAAGTGGGCCATAAGAGAAGGCAGAGGAAGAGGAAGAAACAGATGTCACATGTCTTCTCTCTATGCAGAATTAGTGTAAAACACATGTGAAGAAATGAAGGTGTAAAACAATACTGAAGATGTATATAGGCTTGAGTGGCGATTTGTTGATGTCTGTGGGTTTTCCTAGTTCATTTTTCTGCTACCAATAAATAATGTTTTTAAAATTCCAGTAAGTATTGAAATAGGTCCCAGTACCTGTCTATCTCCATCCCAAGATGGGCACACAAGAATTAGTTGGATTTGTATTAACACATGATGGTACACCTGAATATTGTGGTGAGCTGTCTGAACCCCACTTGGGCTGCCCAGTACAGAGAGCTGAAGCCATAGGCAAGAAGATGTAGAATCAGTTTGGTTCACACTGTGATACCTTGTTGCTTCGAGAGTGTTCTTTCTGGACATGTAGAAGGGCCGATCTGTGTTATACTCATCAAATACTCCCCACCGGAGATGGGCCCACTCATGAACAAAGACTCTGCCTGAAAGAGAAGATTGTCATCTATAAAGCTGTAGTTACAATATTTGAACACAGTTTCCCTTTATTTTCAGTCATTTTGTTCATTTGCAAAATTGAAATTGTTACAAACTTTAGAAATTTATACTTTTTAATAGCTCAAAAAATCCAATATGCTAGTTACAACAAGTGACCCATTACTTATAAGTTTGAATGCACAAATATGTGGAATGTAACTACCTTATTATCAAACAAAGGTATTACTTAATGTTTACTTTTCTTAAGGTCTTAGAAATCCACATTAATAATGATGGTTTGCTTTTCCCCATTGGAAATAAGAAGTATAAAATATATATTTCTACCTCGGGGTCCATACATAGGCAAATTATCAGTCAGTAGGAAGTTTGGAGTAAAATGTATGTACTGTCCTCTGTCTCCACATTGTCCATATTGAAGTGTGTAGGGATCATCTCCATATTTCAGATTAGGATCAGCAACTATGACGTCTGCCTAAAATGCAGAAGAACAAACCCAGTCAGATTACAGGGCATTAGAAACAAGAGATTTTGCAAAAAAGAACTGTTTCATCTAAACTGATAAAAGTTGGGGCCGAGTAGAGGGCTCAGTTTGTGGTGATATTTTATTTGTGCTGAAATGTGGTGATATTTTATTTGTATGTTAATAAATAAAGTTTGCCTGGAGATCAAAGGAAATAGCAAGCCATTAACACAAGTCAGGCAGGGGTAGCACATGCCCTTAATCTGATCACTTGGCAGGTTGGGTCTCTGGTGTTCAAGGATACACTAGGGAACAGCCAAGCATGGTGACACACACCTTTAATCCCAGTACCAACCATAGAGACCTGGCAGGCAGTGACAAGGAATTGAAGTAGCTGGGCTAAGAGCCAATGAGAGGGCAGAACTGCAAGGCAATAAAGGCATGGGTAGACAGGAAGTAGCTCACTTTTTTGGAAGATGCAGAGATGGGAAGTGGAAAGTTGAGTCAGGAGATGCCAGCCCACCATCCAGGAGCAGCATGTAATGGCACACAGGTAAAGCCAAGGAACATGTGGTGACATATAGATGAACAGAGATAGGCTGAGTTTAAGTGAAAGAGCCAGTCAGTAGTTAGCCTGAGCTAATGACTGAGCAGTTTTAATTACTAGAAGCCTCTGTGTGTTTACTTGGGGGAGGCAAGTAGGAAAGTTGCATCCTGACTGCAGGCAGGACACAGCAAAACTTCAGCTACATCAGTGGGTTAAGTGCTTTCTGTTTATGAACAAGAACCAGAGTTCAGTCCCAACACCCACTTAAAAGCTGGGTATGGTAACCCATGTCTGTGACCCCAGTAGTGAGGTGGTAGAGACAGGCAGACCACTAGAGATTGTTCTCCAGTCAGTCTAGCAAAATTGATGACTTTCAGATTCAGTAACACACCCTGTCTCCAAAAAATTAAAGGTCAAAAGCAAATAGAGGAAGACACCAATATTAACCTCTACTTCTACGTGAGCATGTACACATACACACACACTCTATGTACTGTGGTTTGAATCTTAGTTGGTCTTGTAATAAAAAAACCCAGAGCCAGATATCAGGGTGAAAGCTGAGAGATCAGAGAAACAATTCAAGCCACAGCAAACCTCACTTTGCCAACCTTCAGCTGATCTTGTTTTCTCAGACTGAAAGCCTCTGAGTCCTCACTGAATCTCAGCTGAACTGCCTTTTTCTTATCTCCTCATGCCTTACCTACCTTTCTCTGCCCGTCCATGTCACTTCCTGGGATTTAAGGCACGAGTGCTTCCCAGTACTGGGATTAAGGGTGTGTGCCACCACTGCCTGACCTCTATGTCTAATCTAGTGGCTGGCTCTGTTCTCTGATTCTCAGGCCAGTTGAGTAGGGTACACAATATATCACCACAACACACACACACACACACACACACACACACACACACACACTGTATATGTATATATATAAATATACATATATATATATACACATAACACATACACACACATATGCACATACATAGCATGCACACTATACACACACACACACACACACACAAACACACACAGAGGCAGGTGTATATCCACACATACATATGCACAAAGTTGTGGACATGTATACAAACATAGTTCACACACATGTATACACACATATACAAACAACAAAAGAAAATTATATTACTAATTACTCACTTAATGATTAATCATTATCAAACTTTTTAAATATTCATTTGGAAAAGGCACAAGAAACAATTTAGGGGCTGGATGTGACACTTACTTTGTCATATGATTCTCGTTTTGGTGTTAAGTACTCAGATTTTGACTTCCAGGTCATTGGGACTAAAATGCTTACTTCCCTGAAATAAAATCTTCTTTTGCTGGCTTCAAACAGGTAAGTAGAGGCTTCAGTTACCATTTCCTGATGAAATGAAAAGTGTATTGTGGTAAGAAATTCAAAATAAAATGGGCCTGAGTATCTGTAAACAAACCAGAAGAAACAAACGAGGGCTCCTCTTCCTCAAACATGTTTGCACAGGGTAACTGAAGAAATGGGATACGTTTACTCAATCTCTCCAATCTATCAACTCACTTCCATATGCCCAAAGTAAACTCTGATTGTCACTTGCCCACCCCTCCAGTTGGCAGTTACGGTGGTGATGGGTATGAAGTCTCTGGGTGAAGTATGAAAGTGATTATGATCAGAAGTCTGAAGACAAGTTTATTTAAGCAGTTTTCTT